TTTTCTTTGTTCTTAATTTTGCGCGGAGTTTGCTTGCTCCAGGAGGCAGCGGGGGATGCTCGCCTTCCCCCTCCCCGGGTTTCCCCTCCCTCTCCATAACGTATTGGCGGTTCCCATTTTACCCCCAAGTCTCGCTTTCCTTGCACCGCACGATCCGAAGATACAAACTTGGGATTAAACAACCCTTCTCCATCCTTCCCACGGTACGGTGCGGGGAAATGTCCCGGCAGCGCATCCGCATTTCCCCATGGGCATTTCCCCGCACCCTACTGTGGTATCCCCCCCTCCTCGCCCCATCACCCCCAGTACCTCCTTTCTCCCGACACTCCAAAATCCATCCAGCTTTTGCCGGTGCKGTTGTTTTGGTGGCTGGGAACAGGGGAAAAAAGGGGGGAGTAGGAGTGCGACGGGGGAAAGCTGAAAAGACATGTTGGTGGAAGGGCAATTTGCATGAAAAATAGAGACGGATGATTAGGGACCCAGGCAGGGAATTTTGATTGCCCCAGAATTAAAAGATGCATCCTGCAAATCGGAGGCAAGACCAGGTGAATTGTACTGTGGTGTTTTCTTTTTAATCCCGGTATTTTATATTACGTTCTAAAAGTAGCAGTAATAATAAAAAGCATATTTTTTTGCTGGCTCTGCCTCCGTCAGGAGCCAAATGTTTTGCGGCGAACACCGTGCCAGCAGTATTTCATACATTAGTATATAATTCTTGTTAATTAGCAATAATTTACGTTAAGAGCATAGAAAATGTTGAGGTTACAGGTTTTATATCTGTACATTTGATCATCTTGTTATTTTCAAGAACTTTGCCTCCTATAAAATTAATTAGGTGAAATGTGGAGGTGTAATCAGCAACCTCTGAATTACCACTTCATTTCCTGGTTTTGATTGTAAATCAGCCCAGTCCGTAAAGACTTTTAGCAAAGTATTTTTGTTCAGTGCCACTTTTAACTGTCTGGTGTCGAAGCAGCGGGTTACCTTCCCCTGCTAAATAATAGTGACAGCGTCAGAAAGGAATCAGGCCGCGGGAAAACATKATAATTGAGTAATGATTATGCAGAGCTCCTCGCTAAGCCAGTTGTAAGGGGAACACGGGTGGTTTTGTGTCTTTTTGCTGCGGAGAGTCGGTGAGCTCGAAGTTAGATTCGCAAAATACCTTTGTCTGCGGCGTGCAGCGAGCTACCGGTGGAATTAGTCCTGCAATAATTTACTCCCTCGGTCCGAACGCAAGGGACGGCTTGGGGAGAAAAACTCCATGCCCGGCAATCCCGCAGAAACACCCTGCTCTTCTGCCGGCTTTCCGAGGAGCGTGAAACGCAYGTTGTCCCTCCTCTCCTGTCGGTCTGTAAGTTTAGAAGAAAACCCCAGCGATTAAGACATTGTTTTTATTAATACGAATGTAACCTTCATATTCCTGTGGTTGACCTTACGTTAAATTAGAAGTAGTACTAGAGGCAAGAAATGATGGTCTGGATCCTTGTGTCCTAGTTGGAGCTGAGGTACGGCAAGGTAGTGTGCTCTTTCAATATTATTTTACGCAGCACAACTGGGAGCTACTCTAGATCTTCCTCCTCAATATTCAGCCTAGGTAGGGTTGAAATAAATTTAACCTGAGTTCACTGGATTTTTGCACTTTATCAAAATCAGTTCCAATATTGTGCAGTCAAATTAAAATCTATTTTTTGATTCTCTGTGGCTTTAAGTTCATTAAATGTGAAATTGGCAGCCAGCTAAAGAAGGTCAGGCTGATTAACTGTTTAGGAGTTGTATTCTGTCTCACTTGTGTTACCTGGCAGTGTTTTGAGGTGGGGTGTATTTGTAGTACCCTCTCCTCCTGCACGCTGTWAGCGTGCATGTTGTGTTGCGCAGGCAGAGGAACACCAACACGCTGCTGGTATTTATTTTTTTCTCCCCTCGTGAAAGGCAATAGTGATGGAGACTGCACAGAGATTGCCAAGGTATTTCTCTGCAAATTTAACGTAAAAAAAAAAAAAAACAACAGAAAAGAGAGCCGAGTCTGCCTCGTTAAAGCATCCACTGATGATTCTGTGAGCAGAAATAGCCTCATAATGAAGCTTTTTGGAGCTCATTCAGAAAATTTGTCAACTTTGACAACATTAGGCAAGGTATTTTGAGTTTAAAGAAGGCGCTTCTCAGTGTTGTGAGGAAGTGTGGCAGTTGCTTGGCCAGGCTAATTTTTAGATGCTGAAGGCCACCAGTGCTAACATGTTCAAGATAATTTAGGCATTCCCTTATTTCAGGGTTTAAAAATGCAAAATGACTGATTGCCTTGTTTCCTTAAGTGCTAAAAATTATCCCATCTAGCTGATATCTCTGAGGGGACTTGGTGGCGAATTTGCTGTTTATTTGAATCCTGAGGAGTAGCTCAAAAGTGAAAGGTGCCTTCCCCCTCCCTGCAGGCATTTCTGCTGCACTTGCTTTTTTGTCATTTCAGTTTTCTGCCATACATACATTTATTTATTTATTTGCCTCATCTCCTCCCCCCTTCCCCCCTCCCTTCAAATAACTACCGCCTTTAGGATTTTTTTAAATTGGAAGCTGCAAATGGGCCGATGGGGACAGTGACACAAATCCGTGCGTTTACGTGTGCACGTGCGTTCTGAAGGCTGGCTGTGCCCCGCGTGTCGGTGCCTGGGTGTGTGTGGCCATGCGGGCTGGCATCTCCCTGTCTTCTCTTTTACACACATACACACGTTACCTGCACGACCTGTATAGGCAATCTGCAGTAGCTGTGTGTATTGAAACACCTTCTGTCTCCGCTGTATTTCTGAATTTTAGAAAGTGGGTCTAGTCTGGCTGGTGGAAGATACACACCCATGTGTGTGAGAGTGTGTGCAGTGCTTTCAGCCTTGAATTCATGTAYATAAATAATACATTCAGCAATAAAACACTGTATTCCCTTCTTGTCGTAGTACCACAGGAGTTTTRCAGGGTATTCTTTTTGTCTATCCGTTTAATCTTAGCAGCGAATCATTCAAGGAGTCAGAAATTCGCCCTCGTGTAGGGACGCGGAGACAGTTGCGGTGCTCGCCCTCCGAGTTCTGCATGCTACAGCTGCTCCAGCAAAATCTGTTCCCTGTAACTGATGAATCCCTGTCCTCGGGGCCGTACTGACAGCCGTGTTGCACCGGTTTGGTTGGGGGGAGCAGGCAGGCRTTGTGAGCGGGGTGTAATATTCATGAAGAGGGGCTAGGTGCATTCCTCCCCCCGCGCCCAGTGCTTTTCCCCACAGCTCTAACCATTCTCCTTTTGTTTCTCAAACTGCAGCCGAACCTCTTGAAGCCATTCTCACTGATGATGAACCTGAACATGGCACATTGGGAGCTCCAGAAGGGGACCACGACCTCCTCACTTGTGGCCAGTGTCAGATGAACTTTCCGTTGGGGGACATTCTTATTTTTATTGAGCACAAACGGAAACAATGCAATGGCAGTCTCTGCCTAGAGAAGGCTGTGGATAAGCCACCTTCACCCTCACCAAGTGAGCTGAAAAAAGCATCCAATCCTGTGGAGGTTGGCATCCAGGTTACGCCAGAGGATGACGATTGTTTATCAACGTCATCTAGAGGAATTTGCCCTAAACAGGAACATATAGCAGGTAAATTAAAGCAAGGAGAAGTGTTTGCGAGTTTATTTCTGTTTCAGTTGCAATGTAGTATGTTGGCAGTCGTGCACTGCCGTGTCTGTGTGTTCTGCTCGCCGTGATGTCCATACCCTCCCTGCCTTGGGTTAACGGTGTTTCCTGGTGCCTGTGCAGCAGCAGGAGCAACAGGCATGTGCCGTGCCAGCCGGTGTTTCTGGCGGTATTGTTTGAGGCCACTCTTGTGATTTGCCTGCATTGTAGTCACCATCTCCCGGTGTGTCTCCGGGTGCCTCGCCTGCGGGAGCGCCGTGGGAGGAGGGTTCTGAGCCTGCCGTGCGAGAAAGCGAGGAGCTTTCGCGTCTTTGGCAAAGTCRGGGGTGAAAGAGTTAACTGAGCATCAGCCAGCCTTGGTTCCATATTGGCTGTCAGCGTATGGACTGTAATTAAACACAGCCCCATGGCAAAGTGACACCACCGACCTTGACTTTAAGATGCCATTTTCGACTGGCCAGGCCAGAGTAGAGAGGGCAGTTGCTGAAGCGCACAGACATGCTTATTCGAAAAGTTTAAGGGCATGTTGGAAATTTCAAAAGGTTGGTTTGACAGGAAAGGCTGCTCTCTGCAGCCTGCCTCCTCAGCCAAATGATAAATGCTTCGCTGTGCTCTCTCTTGTCTCTGATGTGGTTTTGACAGATGTATCTTGATTTTGTTTGCGGTTTACACAACCACATGTCAGCCGTACAAATGTCCAAGGCAGAGTTCTGTTTTGTGCAACAAACAATATGAAGTGTAATTTAAAAAAGAAAAAAGGGTAAATAATTCCACTTTATAGCACAATTTTTTTTTTTTAATCAGAAAGCCATTGGTCGTGCAGGTATTTTCACAAATTAGGTTAAAAAATGGAGTGTACCGTGCAAAAGAAAATCTCGGAGCCCTGGGAGTGTAACAAGGCACGCTCKGTTTTAAAACCCTGCTAGTAAATACAAATACTGCCCATTTGCAGTGAGTGTTTTGAATCACTTCAAACCCCACCAATACTACCTTTCGAAAAAGGCGAGACCGCAGCGTATCAACCCCAACGAATGCTTGAACGGGTTTCAAACTCGCCCTTCAGCAATGTTTGGGATGTGGCACTGGCGGTACCTCTCTTCAGGGAGCCCACAGGGCCGCTTGGGGTTGTCGGAGGTGCAGCGCATCATCACATGATGTGCTGGAGCTTGTCTTGGGCTTGCTTTGGCCACAAAGTTAGACCATAATAGGGCAGTAGGCGCTGGGAGGTTCAGTGGGTTCCTCCCGCAGCCTCCCTGGTCTCCAAGCCAGCCACCAAACTGTGCTGGAGAGCTGCAGTTTTGGAGATTTTGTGGTGGCAGCAGATCCATATCAGTGTATGGGTATCTGCCTGCGCACGTGTCTGTGTGCAGAGCCATGTGCGTGCACATGCAGACGTCATGTGAATGACTGTGTGCTGTTTCTGCAGAGTAATCGGTATTTCCTTGAAACGTGAATATCTTTACATTTAAAAGGAAACAAGCTCAGCTACTGCTAAGCTACATTTTGAATGAGACTTAAACCCCCCAATAATTCCCTGTATTGCACTTCCCAGACATCGATGTTAAAGGTGAGGTTTTTTCCCAGAGTGGTAGAGGGCAGTGCCCATTTCCATGCACTGCCTGCAATGTGACGGAAAATGAGCAGAAGTGTAGGGCATGATTAATGAAGCAGGAGTCTGGCGGAAGGGATTTGTAGTCTTCCAAGCTCTGGAGCCATACTAAATCACCAAATATGGAGGAGCGGTGGTATGATGTAACGCTGTATTTACTTATGGCACCGCTCTGCTCTAAAGACAAAACACAGTATCTGTCAAGCAAGAATTAAACATGCTCTCGTCCCCTGGTCCTAGATAGGTCCCTGGGCTGGAGTGATGGCCACGCTGAGGAGTTCTGCCCGAGGAGAACCTCCTCTGCTGAGGGTTTAGCTCTGGCRCTCACTTGGCAAGGGAGGCTCAGCRAGCCAAGTCTTGCTTTTGCATGGTGCAGGTGATGTGAAGCGAGGAGGATTTGGACTCGTGTGCCATCATGGGGCCGTTAATTCGGAAAGGGCCATGGTTTTAGCTGACTGTAAGTGCTTTGCTGAGCAGAGGCAGTGGCTCAGGACAGGAGCACAGGGGCAGGGCCTGATCCTGCTCGCTCTTATGTGTAGGTGGGCTTGACTGGGAGCAGGTTTGGTGCCATGCAGGAGGGCCATGGAGCAAGCCATGAGTGTGTCCTAAGCAGAGATGGAGTTTTGGTTGTCAGGGCTCTTCTGCCCCAAGTTTTCTGGCTGGGGTGCCCAGCCATGCCTGTGGATGGGAGGTCAAAGAATGCAGGTTCTCTGGACTTAACCTGACTGGGCTGACACCGAGGAACACAGAGGTCCTTTTGTTCTTCCCGATGCCTGGAAATGCTGTCTGGTATTGGGACAGGGAGAAGGTGAATCAAGAGTTGCAGGGTCTTGCACTGTTCCTCCCCTTTGTATTTTCATCTCCCTTTTCACTTGGATAAGTTCAGCTCCCTTGTGTCACAACAAAGTGTGGTGATAGCTGGAGTGACCCCATTGCTCATAGCCAGTAATTTGTGGAGTCCGGCAGTACAATTCCCAGTGAGAGTCTTGGAGCCTAAACTGTAGAGTTTAAACTTAGGGAAGGCCCCTGCAGAGAACCTCAAGCTCTTCCAATTCTGCTATTTATGTCTGATTTTTGTGCAAGAACGCAAAATGTAAGAATGCAAAGTACAAAAGATGTGAGTGTGTAATTAAAAAAAAGACAGAGGCGGCCTTTGGAAAGACACACAGAAGCTGGGGGAAGTGATTCTTTCTGCTATGAGACCAGAAAATACGTGTTTTGTAGCAATATAAAAATGTTCCCAATTAGCTGGAGGCTGGAAGAGGTTAGCCCTGGATACAGAGGTGCTGTGGGTGAGCTCCGGGTTCGGTTTGTTCCCTGCCTGAAGCAGTTTTGTAGTCAGTAAGTTGCGGTGTTAGAGTAAAAGAGAATCTTAAGTAATGGTTAAAGATCTACAGACAAGGGAGGAGGCAGCACTCATTCAAGTGCAGGGAGAAATGATGTCTGTTTTAACTGTCACTAGGCTGCTCTTTATCCTGCCGTTTTCCAGAGACAGGGATGAGGACAGGAGCTCAYATGTGTGTGTGCAGCCTGTGCAGCAGCCGTGGGATCCATATAGGTGCAGGCATGTGTCCGTACCTGGCTCTTCCATGTGGGTGTCTGCCTGTGCACAGCTCTGCCTTGCTATAAAATTTTGAGTGATACTGATCCAGCACTGGAGCTGAAATGCCATAAATTTAACTGAAAATTAATAGGATATGTTGTGTGGGTCCAACGAGGCAGCTTTCATCAATATGTATGTCAAAGCCTCACCACCAGATACCGGCAGCCTGTGATTTGCAGTGAGGGTGACGGCAGGGCTTTAGTTATCCGCTCTCGTATTTTACAATAGGGGGAAATATTAACTGAAGTATCTGGAGATCAGTGAATGTAAAATCGCTGTTCACTTATTGAAAAGGCTGAGGAAATATTTATCGCCCGCCCGTGTCAGGTTTTGGCGGTTTGTTTGTTGAATGTATAAATCTGAGGGAATTAATGAAAGGTTGGGGTTTGGGTGAAGAAGGATCTTAAATGTTACTTGGATGCAGTTGGGGGAACACTTCGGAGTGCTGCTGTGTATTCCTCTCTATAATGCCGAGCATGTATCTGTGGATGCTCTATTTACTGTACAAAGAGGGGAGGAGGAGGGGAGGTCATTTTTACTGCTTGAATCCTATATTCTCAAGCTGCTTGTGACATTCAAATAAAACACGTGGGAAAATAATGTAAGAAACCACTCGGTCTGCTGCAATCGGGGGAAGGTGAACATCATTTGGTACTGAATTTCAGACTGAGTATTTGATTATTGCAGTTTTCAGGAAGTAATGTCTTTAAGCAGAAATTTTCTCGGGCCGTTATTATTAGGTGCCATTATAATTCTGTAGGTTGTGAATGTTGATTCCTTGTTTTGTTTTGCTCTGCAGACAAAAAAAATACTGCTGTCTGCACTGAATAGTTAGCATTGCATCTGGACAATAAGATGAAAGCTTAAAGATAGAGGAGGGGAAGAAGGAATACGGGAATATTTTGAAGTCTGATTCTGTCTGCTTTCCCCATACAAAGAAACAGAGAGCATAAGCTAGGTAAAATATAGCAGGCAGGAAAAAATAGKGAGGGTGCTACCCAAAGGCTCCTGCTCCTGAGATTTGGAGCGCTGCATACAAGCTGTATTTGTAAATAAGACAGAGAAAGGTTGTGAACCGGCAGCTTGGCTGTTTTGTCAAAGTACAATGTCAGAGAAACTCTTTCTAAGACAAATTGTAAATAGAAGTGTCACGATGATTGCATGATTGAGCTCTAGAAGTGTCTTGCAATTGTTGGCATTGTCAGAAGACTTTTGAAAGCTTAATTAAAGGCGGTGGCCTGTGTTGCTGTGAAATTTACTTCTCGGGGTGGGGGGGAAATGTAAAAAATGTAGGGGATCAAAAAGTTGCTCTAATGCTTCTCGTGCAGGGATACAGAGAGGAGTCAATAGTTTCCCTGCTTTCCCTGTTGCCTTTTATAAATAACGTTTTTTGAAGAAGCAAACACGTGACACCAATATCATCCTTTGTACGAGGTAAAGATTGTGTTAGTTTTCCTATTCCCTGCTGTTCCAGACAGTTAATGTAAAAATGGCTCTTTACTGGAAACACAAATAGAAGTTCACTCGAAGCACAGAAGCAGGATAGAAAGTTTTCTTCTGCCTCTGCTTTCCAGGGAAGCATCACAATGTTGYGGTGCCCTGAATATTTCTGGTGGGTTTTTTGTTTCCTGCAAATCAGATCTTCTGAGAGGATGAGAAGTATATTTTTTGTTCCTTCTCCTATTGCGCGGGATGCTGAACTGTGGAGCTGTCCACAAGCAGAAGCACCACTGCATCTGTAATACTGATGGT